AAATCTCAAAACAAAACAAACCCAGAGTTCAACGCGCATTGGAACTCCTTACTCTTCTCCGAATTATATTTTAACTTTCACGCCCCAACTTGCAATAGATCCATCAAGATCGTCACTTGGAATGCTGACGGAATTCGCACAAAAATACCCGAGTTCGAAGAATATATCCAAAGATATGACCCAGATATCATAGCTCTCCAAGAGACTTTCCTTCAACCCTGCCATAGCTTCAATATCCCCAACTATACCATCTACAGGAACGACAGATTAACGCACAGAGGAGGAGGCACAGCGATCCTCATTAAAAACTCAATAGCCCACCACAGCATACATATCCACACCCACGCTCTTGAGAACACCACTATAGTACTTGAAGGCACCAACAAGATCACCATCAGTTGCATCTACAGACCGCCCAACTCACCCCACCAAGCCCTCATTTCCGATCTTCTAAAGATACTCAGAAACAGAACTCACTGCTTCATCGTGGGAGACTACAATGCAAAGCATCACACGTGGAGCCCACACAGCAAAAATAACCCCTGTGGGAGCGCACTGTTCAAATTTCTAAATAATTGCGGTTTCCTCCTCTCTTCCTCTTCAGAACCAACCACTATCCCAAAACGGGCAAACGCCAGACCAGCCACCGTCGACTTTGGCATCTCCTGCGGCTTAGATGACGTCCTCGTCGAAACCCAGGTTGAACTATCCAGCGATCATAACCCAGTACAATTCATTTTACCGGCTAACAGTGACAAACCTCATGCTCAGAACTGCACAACATTTACAAACTGGAACCTCTTCCAAGACCTTTTAACCACCTCCATCCCTGGAAATCCCACGATCAATAATACAGATGAAATCGATGAAAGAATCTCCCAATTTACCAGTAGTATTCACCTAGCCATCAACCAAAGTAGCAAGTACAAAGTAATCACTCACAACATCACCTTCATCCCCCTTCACGTAAGAGAAAAAATTAAGGAAAAGAACAGACTGAGGCAACTTTGGCAATCCACCGGGTACCCTCCAATCAAACATGAAATGAACAAGCTACAAAAGCAAATTAAACGAGACCTCAAACTATTAAAGCAAAAAGAATGGGATGACATTCTCGATGAAGCAAATTTCGACCCTTCAAAACTACACAATATCATCAAAAATAAAAAGGCGCAACAAATTACCTACCCACCTCTCCTGGGTTACAGAGGAATGGTTTATGATACGCTGGATAAGGCAAACCTTTTCGCGGACACTATGGAGGAGTCTTTTCAAGAAAACTCCGAACCATATAACGACGAACACATCGAAAAGGTGGAGAGAAAAGTGCACAGATATTTGAGAAAGATCTCCTTCAGCACTCCGCCACTTACCTCCCCCGAGGAAGTCTGTAACATCATACTGGGCCTAGAAAACAGAAAAGCCGCAGGAGCGGATCAGATCAAAAACATAGCGTTGAAATCCCTCCCAATTAATGCAATAACCTTCTTAACCAAAATATTCAACAAATGCCTAATGAACGGATACTTCCCTGACGCCTGGAAACATGCTATCATCACCCTCCTACCAAAAAAAGGAAAAGATACCAAACTCGCAATTAACTATAGACCAATCAGTTTACTCTCCTCAATTGGAAAATTATTCGAAAAAATAATCCTCTCCAGACTTAAAGAGCATGCGAACAATAACAATATCATTCCAAGCTTCCAACACGGCTTCAGGGAAAACACTGCTACAAACCATCAGCTCCTGCGACTAACAAACCTGGTTGTCAGCGGCTTCAATAACCACGAAACCACCGGAGGTGCCTTCCTCGACGTCGAGAAAGCCTTCGATAGGGTGTGGCACTATGGACTTCTCCTCAAGCTAATTGAACTTAACTTCCCTCCTTACGTCATTATGATCATAAATAACTTCCTGAGAAACCGATCTTTCCAAATAAGGATCTCGTCCACCCTATCGAGAACGGCTTACGCAAGTGCTGGATGCCCACAAGGTTCCTTACTATCTCCCCTTTTGTACAATATCTTCACGCACGACTTCCCCACCGCACCAACAGTCCATATCTGCCTCTTCGCAGACGACGACGCAATCATCTCCCAAGCCTGCAGCCCCGACATAGTAAGAATCAATCTTCAAAAATACCTAAAAAAACTCCAGGTCTGGCTGACCAAATGGCGGATAAAAATTAATGTTAGTAAAAGTCAAGCCATAATTTTCAAGAGAGGCAGTTATAGAAACAGGATGCAATGCCTAAAACTCTTTCGAACAAACATCCCTTGGACTGCAAACATCGAATACCTAGGTGTTACCCTAGACTCCAAACTCACCTTCAAGAACCATCTTTCAAAGATTACCTGCAAGTTCAAAAAAAAAAACACTGATAATGCTACTCCCACTACTTAACAAGAATTCTAACCTTTCCCGCAATAGCAAAAGGCAAATCTACTTGCAATACCTCCAACCAATACTGACCTACGCATGCCAGATCTGGGGATGTGCAGCCATAACCAACATAAACAAACTTCAAGTCCTGCAAAACAGAGCCCTCAGAATCATTCTAAATTACCCGCACTATATTGCGAGAAAATACCTCCACAACGATGCAAGCATTCAACCTCTGAACGAAAGAATCAGAACTCTCGCTGAAAACTTTCACAGCCCGATCAGCTCTCATCCAAATGCATCCATCTCCTCTCAAGCCAACGCAATTACAACAGGATTCCTAAACCACCCAATCCACTCTACGATCCTTCAAAACACCTTTTAGCGGCCGCGGTAGCCGAGTGGTATAGGTATCGGACCGTGGCTTGCCTTGTCACGAGTTCGAGCCCAGTACCACTAAAGACCCGCCGTGTAGGGCAGCGATGCACGTTAAATCTGTCGAGAGCTGAAACGTCCTCCCGTGGGGTGGGGTGGTAGTTAGGAGAGGGGGGTGACAGCTCAGGTGTCGTCCACGTCACTTGACCATGGTTCAAAATTACGTGGTCCGTCGCCAAAATCCCTCGTGTAGCTGAACAGTGCGACGTTAATATTCAATCAATCAATCAAAACACCTTTTAGTTCAACCCTCTCCCTCATCATTCATTCTCAAGCAAAACGAATTCACTACTCCCCTTTCTTCGTTGTTGAAACGAAAGCTACGAACAATCAATGTCTCTTCGTTTCGTCCAAAACAAGTTTAAACTACCCCCCCCTACCTGCTCACGTCAGAAGAGAAGAGAGAAATCCTCTTTCCTCCTCGGCCCAACTACGTCACAGCGCAGATCAGCTGCTCTGTCATTTCCCCCCCCGCTGCTGAAGAGCGAGAAAAACCCCTCTTCCGTTCGCGGAGATTGCTACGTCATGACGCAGTGTACCTGCTTTTCTTCACCCCCCCCACCCTCCCGATAGTGTTCGATGCCTCGTCGTTTCTTACTCTTTCCCCCTCATCCTACTCACACAGAGAAAAAAGCACGAATCTCCGTGCTGGTGCTCTAGAAAAGAATATGTTCCCCGAATAAGAACCACTAATATAAAATATAGCATTTATGTGCTATTTACTATATATACATAGTTATTATCTATTTCAAAGTAAATACCTCGTCATATTGAGAATTAATAATGTTAATTCCTTTATATTACATCAATACGCCTTCTCCTATTGAAATAAAATAATAGCGATATAAGTTTTATTTCTTAATTTATTTTTAGTATTACTTTGATCATACATTATTTTCTTACTGTAAAACTAAGAAAGAACAGGGTTTGAAGGAAATTAGTAGACTTTGTTCATATATTATGCAATGCAGTCTTTTAAGTTGATAAAAGTTACAATTACAAATTTATAGTTCATAAACTATCTTGCCTCTTACAATCTTGAAAAAAATAAACTCTGCATTTTACTTGTTTCAATTTCCGATATTCTTAAGTAATCTTTTACTGGGTATTCGGATTCTACGCGTTCTAACCTAGTAACAATACTAATTACATTTGCTTTTCGAAAACAACATAACTGTTCGCGCACAGTCAACATAATGTTAATATGACGATGTACTATATATTGGTAGCAGTGGCCGAGCGGTCAAGGCAACAGGCCTTTGAGTCTGAGGGGTAAATTTCCCGCATGGGTTCGAATCCCATCTGCTACCACCGGTGAAAAAAAGCAACCCGGTGGCCCATCCCGGTAATATATATATATCTAACATATATATATTTTTGCTTTTAAATAATTTTAGCAAAATAATAAAATTTATAAGTTTTCTAAAAAATATTTTAGGAGGGGCAAAAGTACATTTTTAGTAAAATTTAATTTTTTTATTAAGAATTAAAATTACCCGTTTTCCCTCAAATACTTTTAAAGTAAATTGCAAAAAGGTTTACTTTTAAATTGTTCCAACATTCTCGCAGTAAAATTTATCTTACGAAGATTTATTGATAAGTTACTTTTTGTTGTTAAATCAAACAATAATATAGTGGGGATTATTTTTTACACATAAGTATTATTCGCAAATTTTTTTTTTCTTTTAAAAATACTATATTTTAGTTGATTTCAATTTTATCCTCCGTTCCTAGATATGAACTTAAGAGTACCACACAGGACATAACACACTCAAAAATAGGTTTTTCAATTTCAGTATTAAAAAAAATAGTGCATGTTTTTCTGAATCTAAACATGTATAACACTGACTATTCGTTGATAAAATAACCTTAAAATATGAAGAAAAAAACAATTGATTAAAATGTTAACATACGAAAAAAATAAACTCTGCATTTTACTTGTTTCAATTTCCGATATTCTTAAGTGACCTTTACTGGCTATTCGGATTTCACGCGTTCTAAGCTAGTAACAATACTAATTACATTTGCTTTTCGAAAACAACATAAACAAACGTGTGGCGCAGTATAGCCAAATTTGGCTCTTGCGCCATTAAACCCTACACTCACTCACTCACTTACTCGAAAACAACATAACTGTTTGCGCACAGTCAACAAAATGTTAATATGACGATGAACTATCGGTAGCAGTGGCCGAGTGGTCAAGGCAACAGACCTTTGAGTCTGAGGGGTAAATTTCCCGCATGGGTTCGAATCCCATCTGCTACCACCGGTGAAAAAAAAGGCAACCCGGTGGCCTATCCCGGTAAAATATATATACTAAACACATATATATTTTTGATTTTTTAAATAATTTTAGCAAAATGATAACATTTATAAGTTTTCTAAGAGATATTTCAGAAGGGGCAAAAGTACATTTTTAGTTAAATTTAATTTTTTATTAAGAATTAAAATTACCCGTTTTCCCCCAAATACTTTTAAAGTAAATTGCAAAAAGGTTTACTTTTAAATTGTTCCAACACATTCTCGCAGTAAAATTTCTTACGAAGATTTATTGATAAGTTACTTTTTGTTGTTAAATCAAACAATAATATAGTGGGGATTATTTTTTTAAACATAATTATTATTCGCAAATATTTTTTTTCTTTTAAAAATACTATATTTTAGTTGATTTCAATTTTATCCTCCGTTCCTAGATATGAACTTAAGAGTACCAAACAGGACATAACACACTCAAAAATAGGTTTTTCAATTTCAGTATTAAAAAAAATAGTGCATGTTTTTCTGAATCTAAACATGTATAACACTGACTATTCGTTGATAAAATAACCTTAAAATATGAAAAAAAAATGATTAAAATGTTAACATACGACCACGCCTCCTTTGACACATTTTAAAAGATAGTTTCTCTTGTGTTTAATGTATGTAAGCTACTAATTTGTATTTACTAGAAAGGAAAATAATATTTTTCTATTTTTAATGTGTTTTTTTGAAAACTAGTTTTACATGAGAAAAAAAGGAAAAAAAAATTGAGATTGTCAAGATTTTAAAGTTTTGTGGCTTTTTCAGAAAAGTTATACAATTATTTTATCAAAAAAACTGTTTGACTATATTTTGTTCCTCGTTTTATATATGTATGTAAAATCTGTTGTATATTCTAGAAATATTTTTATTAAAAATGGTACCTAAATGAAAATATGTTTGATATATTTATGTTCATGCTCAGTTATAACAAAGTAACTTTTTTTAATTTAAAATTACTTTTGTACTTCTAGAGAATGTTTAAAGTATCATTTCAAGGTACATAAAACTAGTCGAGAAAAAAATATTGTGATTAAAAAAATATGCGAAAACATTGCTACTTTTAGTTTTTTCACTTTTCCTCAAAAAACACAATTTTTTGCCTTTTTAGGTACACTTTAAAAAAAAAAGAAACTATTGCACTATATGGTTCCAAATTTTATGTTCAAGGTACATAAAACTAGTCGAGAAAAAAATATTGTGATTAAAAAATATGCGAAAACATTGCTACTTTTAGTTTTTTCACTTTTCCTCAAAAACATAATTTTTTGCCTTTAGGTACACTTTAAAAAAAAAAAAAACTATTGCACTATATGGTTCCAAATTTTATGTTCAAGGTACATAAAACTAGTCGAGAAAAAATATTGTGATTAAAAAATATGCGAAAAACATTGCTACTTTTAGTTTTTTCACTTTTCCTCAAAAACATAATTTTTTGCCTTTTTAGGTACACTTTAAAAAAAAAAAAAACTATTGCACTATATGGTTCCAAATTTTATGTACTTCTATACAGGATACCCGTGCATATATAGTGAAAAAGGGGACAAAATAGAAAATTTATAATTTTTTAAAGAAACTATACTAATATTTTACTAAGAGAAATAGGTTCACTATATTTTATGTATTGTGCTTTATATATGTGCAAATATTTAACATATTTAAGAAATATTTTTTTTAAAAAATGGTACCTAAAATCCGGCGTTAACACACAAAAAAAAAGATCGAAATTTATGGGTGCTTGTTATACGCCGGGTATAAAAATGAGAGCTTTAAAATTAAAAAAGGATGGGCATAGAAAAAAATTAGACTTCTAAATACATCAAAATACTATTTTTTTAAAAGAAATGACACTCCTTATGAGCTTAAAGGGTTGCAGTTCTAGAAATATAGTATTTTTCTACTGCTTGGCGAATACCTCAAATAAAGGACTTCAAAACATAAGAATATTGCGTACGTGCATAGAAGGTTTCTTCGTAAGAAAGGGAATGCACGTTATACGGCGAATATACCTAAAAATTGAAAATTGCAGCTTATAGTATAGGTGCGCGTTATACACCGGATTTTATGGTATGTATTCTGAGATCTAACAAATTATGTCCAACTTAAATAAAATATTTAAAAAAATTGAACATAAAAATTACTTTTTGTATTTCTACAGAATGAATAAAGTAACTTCGTCAAAAACACAAGAAAATCTAAGCTCTATCGGAAATTTTAAAGATATATGTCCTGAAACAAAACAGGGTGTGGTCAAGGGTTCGTTCTAATTTCAAAATTTCTAAACTCCAGTTCTGCATCGGTGTGGTTCATTTCGAATGAATCTAATTTATCCATCTAAATTATTCGAATTCTAATCTAGTAAGTATTCAAGCATTACGCTCTGCTTCATTTTTAAATATTTTTTTAATAACGCGAACAAAAGCAGCTACATACTACATGGCAGAAAACAAGTGATCTCACAACAGCTAGTTGATTTTCTTAGGAACAAAAATATCTGCGCATGCGCTTACAGTAATGCGAAGTTAGCAAAAAGTTAGTTCTGGTGTTGACAAGCGGGAACATCCCGCCCCCGTTGGACGGTGGTCCAACATCTTCGAATGGAAGTGGGCAGACACTTGCAGCAGTTCGGGGTGAAGACGCCTCTGGACGTTCTGATGCGGATGACTCTGACTAAACCATCGGATCCAGGATGAATTCCTTCTATGCGACCCAAGGTCCATTCCATCGGAATCTTGCTAGGCTCCTTTAACATCACAAGTTGACCAAGCTTCAGATTGGATAGAGGCAGCCTCCATTTCTTTCGGGCCTGAAGTTCTCCCAGGTATTCCTTGCTCCATCGTTTCCAAAACCTATTCTTAAGAGACTGAATTAGGGACCATCTGGAAGATAAAGAGATGTTAGTTAACAATTCACTAGGTTCTGGTATCCCCAAAAGTGGAGCTCCCACCAAAAAATGACCAGGTGTCAGAGGTTGAAGATCGGCTGGATCAGCAGAAAGAGGACACAATGGTCGTGAATTTAAAACAGCTTCGATCTGCGCCACAAGGGTAGTGAGCTCTTCAAAGGTTAAAACAGTTGATTTAGTCACTTTTAATAGAATTTTTTTCATTGATTTAATATTAGCTTCCCATAGTCCACCGAAATGAGGTGAGGCCGGAGGTATGAATTTCCACTCTATACCTTCTTTGGCACTATATTTTTGTACAGGATCAGATTGACATATTTTTAATAGGATATCTAAGACATTTTTAGCGCCTTTAAAATTTGTAGCGTTGTCACTCCAAATTGTTGCTGGTTTTGATCGTCTGGCTATGAATCTTCTAAGACTAGCTAAGAAACTGTCCGTAGTTAAATCAGACACTACTTCAAAATGAGTAGCCTTGGTACAAAAACATATGAAAATTGCAATATAGGATTTTAAAGTTACTCTAGATCTTTTAGGTTAGGTTTTGTAATTATTGGTCCTGCAAAGTCTAGCCCGACTTTTTTCAAACGGTCGAGATGGTACAACTCGATCTTTGGGCAGGTCGCCCATCATTTGGTTAACAGTCCTGATTCTTGTTTTAAAACAAGTCAAACATCTGTTTATTACACGTTTCACACGGTTTTGACCAGAAGGTATCCAATAATATTGGCGGATCAGAAAAAGTGTAGTTTGAGTACCTGAATGTAGAGATATTTTATGGAAATGGTTTATAATTAAATCTGTTAAATGGTGTGTCTTTGGCAAGATCAGTTGATGCTTCTGAGAATCTGAAAGGTTTGAAAATTTTAATCTTCCACCAACTCGTAACAGTCCATCCTTATCCAGGAATGGGTTTAATGATAAAATCTTACTGTTCTTTGGAATTTGATGTTTTAACTGTAAACACTTTATTTCGGATTTAAATTCAGATTGCTGTACAGATTTTACCAACACTTCTGCAGCATTTCGCAGTTCGGTTGTATTCAAATAATCCTTTTTTTCTTTCAGAAATATTAATTTTGGAATTATTGACGAATCGTAAACACCATGCAGTCGTTATAATTAATGTATCAAATGAAGAATATCTTTTGATTAAATTATTATCGGGAGGGGATTCCCTATAGTCGTTGAGTTTACCATAGTTTCTTTGCGAAGCTCATATTTTCCTATTTGCTCAATGTCTATCTCCTTTGAGAAATCCAAAGCTTTTGGCCAGGAACTCTCATTCTGTATTAACCAAGGGGGTCCATGCCACCATAATTCACTGCTTCGTAACTCGGATGCAGACATACCTCTAGACAACAAATCAGCGGGATTATCTTTCCCAGGGCAATGACGCCATTCTATAGGATCAGTATATTTTTGAATCTCTTTGATTCTGTTTTTTACAAATGGTTTAAATCTAGCAGCAGATCCCTTGATCCAAAAATAAGTAATAGATGAATCAGTCCAGAAGTAACGAGATGTTATATAGTTAACAGTTTTGGAAATTTTATAACTCAATCTGGCTGAAAGTAGAGCGCCCATTAGCTCTAGTCTGGGTAACGAAATTGTTTTTAATGGGGCCACCCTACACTTCGATGCTACAAAATTGGTAAAAGTTTTCCCATTCTTTAATGCTATTCGGAGGTAAACTACTGTACCATAAGCTTTCTTAGAGGAGTCTGAAAAACAATGTATCTGAATGTTATCTATTTCGTTTTGAAGGGCATAACCTAAATAGTAGCGAGGTATGCTGAAAGTATTTAATTCCGGAACTTCCTCGCACCATTCATTCCAACTAGATTCTAAGTTCTTTGGAAAGAACTCGTCCCAATCCAAACCCAAGCACCACAGTTCTTGTATTAAAATCTTTAATCTAATTATAAAAGGACTAAGAAAACCAACAGGATCGAAAATACGACCTGCAGCTTGTAACAAGCATCGTTTAGTATTCGTTCGTTTTTTAAGAAATTTTATTATACCTCCAGTGTCAAAGTAAAAGTGTCTTGATCGGGATTCC